GGTGTGCTTACCATGTGCCGGCATGTGTGCAGTTATGACATGACATGATGCACCTGAGCGGGTGTGCTTACCATGTGCCGGCATGTGTGCAGTTATGACATGATGCACCTGAGCGGGTGTGCTTACCATGTGCCGGCTTGTGTGCAGTCATGACATGATGCACTTGAGCGGGTGTGCTTACCATGTGCCGGCATGTGTGCAGTCATGACATGATGCACTTGAGCGGGTGTGCTTACCATGTGCCGGCTTGTGTGCAGTCATGACATGATGCACTTGAGCGGGTGTGCTTACCATGTGCCGGCATGTGTGCATTTATGACATGATGCACTTGAGCGGGTGTGCTTACCATGTGCCGGCATGTGTGCATTTATGACATGATGCACTTGAGCGGGTGTGCTTACCATGTGCCGGCATGTGTGCATTTATGACATGATGCACTTGAGCGGGTGTGCTTTCCATGTGCCGGCATGTGTGCATTTATGACATGATGCACTTGAGCGGGTGTGCTTACCATGTGCCGGCATGTGTGCAGTATGACATGCACTGGCGGGTGTGCTTTCCATGTGCCGGCTGTGTGCAGTCTTGACATGATGCACTTGAGCGGGTGTGCTTACCATGTGCCGGCATGTGTGCAGTTATGACATGATGCACTTGAGCGGGTGTGCTTACCATGTGCCTGGCATGTGTGCAGTTATGACATGATGCACTTGAGCGGGTGTGCTTACCATGTGCCGGCATGTGTGCAGTTCTGACATGATGCACTTGAGCGGGTGTGCTTACCATGCGCCTGCATGAGTGCAGTTATGACATGATGCACTTGAGCGGGTGTGCTTACCATGTGCCTGCATGTGTGCAGTTATGACATGATGCACTTGAGCGGGTGTGCTTATCACATGAAGGAAAACATGACGAACCCCTGCGGAGAGGCGGTCTTTCGGGCACAATGCGTGCCTCTTGACGTCACCAAAACCTGACCCGTTGAATCCCTGAGGAAAACCAGCATTTGGAGCACGTTGCGCGCTCATTACAGGGGGATTTCCTGCGTTCGGCGCGCGCGCCAACAGCAGGACGGAGGGAACAACAACAACAACAACAACAACAACAACAACAACAACAACAACAACAACAACCAACAACAAACAACAACAACAACAACAACAACAACAACAACAACACCAACAACAACAACAACAACAACCAACAACAACAACAACAACAACAACAACAACAACAACAACAACAACAACAACACAACAGAACAACAGCAACAACAACAACAGCAACAGCAACAGCAACAGCAACAGCAACAGCAACAGCAACAGCAACAGCAACAGCAACAGCAACAACAACAGCAACAGCAACAGAACAAGAACAACAACAACAACAGCAACAACAGCAGCAATCACAACCAGAACAACAAGAACAACACGAACAACAAGAACACCAACAACAACAAGAACCATTACAACAACCAGAACAACAGACACAACAACCACAACCACAGCCACAACCACAACCACAACCACAACAACAACAAACAAACAAACAAACAAACAAACAAACAAACAAACAACAACCACCACCACCACCAACAACAACAACAACAACAGGAACAGCAACAGCAACAGCAACAGCAACAGCAGCAACAACAACAACAACAACAACAGCAACAGCAACAGCAACTGCAATAGCAACAGAAACAGCAACAGCAACAGCAACAGCAACAGCGACAAACAAACAAAACAAACAAACAAACAAACAAACAAACAAGCAAACAAGCAAACAAACAAACAGCAAACAAACAAACAAACAAACAAACAAAACAAACAAGCAAACAAGCAAGCAAGCAAGCAAGCAAGCAAGCAAGCAAGCAAACAACAACAACAACAACAACAACAACAACAACAACAACAACAACAACAACAAGGTGCACTTCCTAAGGCGCGGCCTCTGGCAGGCGCGCGGTTTTTGAGGCATCATGTTGCCAAAACCTGCGTTTCGGACCCACAACCCTTAGCGCAAAAAGTTCGGCGAAAAGCGGCTATCTGCACAAAGTCCGTCTTTTTTTTGCCAGGCGTGCGTCTTCACCGAACCGAGTTCATAGTTATAGAAGCCAGGGTTAGCAGAAGTTCTCTCGAAAAACCTTTGTTATCTATTATGCAAATGTTATAATAGAAGATGTGTATTTACTTAATGTATAAGCAATTCAATAGTCACCTGTTGCAGTAGTTATATTATATTGAGTAGTTATCATTATATTGATACTGACATTGTTTTTGATATATATATATATATAATAATATTGTTCACTAAATACAATTATTCAGTTCAACAATCGTAGTACAAGTCGTGGTGCTTGGTCTGTACAAATTACCAAGCCAAACAAAATGAATTCAACCTTCTCTAAAGTATTTCTATAAGTAAAACAGTTTATGCACTGGAGCGATGCAAAAAAAAGCGTTTTGCAGAGGCCGCGTCTCGGGAACATGGCCAACAACAACAACAACAACAACAGCAGCAGCAGCAACAACAACAAAAAAAAAAACAGCAGCAGCAGCAACAACAACAACAACGACTGCTACTACTACAACTACTACTTCTACTGCTACTACTACTACTACTACCACGACTACCACTACCACTACCACCACCACTACTACCACTACTACCACTACTACCACTACTACTACTACTACTACTACTACTACGCCCACTCCTACCACTACCACTACTACTACCACCCCTACTCCTACCACTACTACTACTACTACTACTACTACTACTACGACCACTCCTACCACTACTACTACTACTGCTACTACTGCTACTACTGCTAGTACTACTACTACTACTACTACTACTACTACTACTACTACTACTACCACTACTACTACTACTACTACTACTACTACTACTACTACTACTACTTACTACTATTACTACTACTACTACTACTACTACTACTACTACTACTACTACTACTACTACTACGGCTACTAGTACTACTACATGATCGATCCTGCTAATAAAAACAACCAATACTAATCACATAATATTACTGAGACAACATAATAATAGAACATGAACAATAACAAACAATAATATGAAGTAGTGTAGTAGTAGTAGTAGTAGTAGTAGTAGTAGTAGTAGTAGTAGTAGTAGTAGTAGTAGTAGTAGTTCTAGTAGTAGTAGTAGTAGTAGTAGTAGTAGTAGTAGTAGTAGTACTAGCAGCAGTAGTAGTAGTGGTGGTGGTGGTGGTGGTGGTGGTGGTAGTGGTGGCGGCAGTCGCAGTGGTGGTAGTAGTACTCGTACTGGAACTAGTAGTAGTGGTAGTAGTAGCAGCAGTAGTAGTAGCAGTAGCAGCGGTACTAGTAGCACCAGAAGTCGCAGTAGTGGCATCAGCAGCAGCAGTAGTCGTAGTAGTCGTTGTCGTCGTCTAGCATCCCCTGAAAGGTCCAATGAATCCAGGACCGGGCCTCACGTAGACAAAAACCGTGAGTTTCCTTTGGTCAGCATGTTTCCGCCCACCTATCTTTCTTGCAAGCTGACTTCCTGAGTGGACTGGAAATCAACGGTTCGATATTTTCTCTATATAATGTGGTCGTCCTAAAAAGTGTAAAGTCCAAACACCGGGGACATGAGCTACTTCTATCAGAACCAGAAACCCTTTTGGCCCGGAAACCAACACATCCCCCCGGTGTCCTTTCACCCAACTAGAAGGGCTGAGTGTAAGTCCAGAAATTACGGGAGTGAGTTCCACTGTGGGAAAAAGACAAAGGCCCCCAAGAGGACGGGGATTTCTTCCTGAGTCCCCTGGATCTTTGTGGAGACCGATTTGGCCTCGTCCGTGGAGAATGAGTGATTCCCCTGTTCTTGTCTGGAGACATTTAGAGCTCGTTCTCACTACAGGTCGAACCGCTACAGGTCCGGCCGGACGAACTAAAGGGAGCCCGATCAGGCAAGGGAAAAAGAAAAAAGTGAAGCCACCGGTTGCAGCCAAAAGCTGCCAGAACATGCCTTCGGATAGACTACAAGCCAGAAGTGGCCTCAAGAATCAAACTGTGCACTGCACGGCTCAAATGTATACTCCTACCCGTGAAACTACTCCGGGCTAGATAATCTTGTACACCTCTCACATACCCATCACATGCCCTCTATCCCAAATGGCCGCTTGTTTGAAGGGAATATATATGTTCCAGGCCGTGGACCCCCCCCCCCCCGCCCCCCCCCCCCCCCCCCCCCCCCCCCCCCCGGGGGGGGGGGGGGGGGGGGGGGGGGGGGGGGGGGGGGGGGGGGGGGGGGGGGGGGGGGGGGGGGGGGGGGGGGGGGGGGGGGGGGGGGGGGGGGGGGGGGGGGGGGGGGGGGGTGGGGTGGGGTGGGGGGGGGGGGGGGGGGGGGGGGGGGGGGGGGGGGGGGGGGGGGGGGGGGGGGGGGGGGGGGGGGGGGGGGGGGGGGGGGGGGGGGGGGTGGTGGGGTGGTTGGGTGGTTGGGGTGTGGTTCGGAGTTGGTTGAGGCTTGGTGGGTTGGTTTAGGGTTGGTTCAGGGTTGGTTCAGGGTTGGTTTGCGGTGGGTTTCGGGTGGGTTTGGGGTTTGGGTTGATTTAGGCTTAGGGTTGGGGTTAAGGAGGGGTTGCAGGGTGGTTTGGTTTAGGGGAGGATGTTGCGAGAGGTGCGGGGGTGTTGGTTCACGGGGTGAAAGGGGGAGTCTGGGACCGAAGCTGCAGGGCTCACACGGTACTGGACAGCATCCCCAGCATTGCCAGCATCATCCCCAAGATGCGGATGATGCGGGGGAGTGGGGGGACCATACCATTGGGGGGGGGGGGACGTGGCCCAGGGACTGGTACATATATATATATATGGAAGTTTCAGGTTTTGCACAGAAATTGAATGCCTCCTCTTAGTCAGGGGATGACATCATACCCTTACATACCCTGGAAAAGCGGGTGTTGGGTGTAGGGGTGCCCCAGACATAGCCCATGGGTTGGCCCCCCCCCACACCTGGCAGCGCTTGAAGCTCTCTTCAGTGAGCAGAAAGGCATCCAGCAACGTGGTGTTGCCTCGGGCAAGGTCTGGCATTTCGGGTATTTGTCAAAAAGGTGGGGGTGTTGTGGGAACCCGGGGGGGAGGGGGAGCATCGGTGTTCCTTTGCCATTTCCTTGAAACCAACCTGAAAAGGGCACTTCAACGGTGCTTTTTGATCTAAAACTGCTCCAATCATTCCTCAAACACACTTATCCCTGTGTTCGTCTATGTCTGTCTTCCCTACGGGGTGTTTTGGGAGAAATGGAGTACTTGACGTGCAAAGGACTACATTTTCAAGCTGATTGCCTATTGCGAGGGAGCAAACAGCAAACAGTCAATTTCCGGGCTTCCCGTGTTTCATACTTGCAAGCTTGTGTGATTCCATCGTGAGGCTTGTTCCCAGAGCACGTACTACCATGCAAGCTTGTATTGGTGAACGGTGGTACAAGTATATATAACCCACAAACCAAAAAACAAAGAAAACAACTAACAAGCAAACTTGATATACACGTCTGACTACATGCCTACCCTGGAAACATCACCTCAAGGACAAGCTCAATCAAATAGAACTGTCAAACAGCGTGTTTTTGTTTGAGCCATTCAAACATGTGGCCCAGATCAGAGGCACACGGAAAGTAACCTTTTCAAACTCCGTTCCATATTTCGTCTACACTAAAATGGTTTCAGAGGAGACCCCAAAAAGGAAACGCAATCCCCACTTGGGTCCCCCCGCCATCGAGCACATAGTGCCGCGTCGTCCAGGGCGCAGAAGCGTGCCAAACCCCGTCCTGTTGGCTGGGACCGAACTTCAAGGGTACTTTACGGGGTGAAAGCTTTGGCACCAGGCACGTGGAAGCTGAATCTCGGGTTTTGGAGCAACAGGCCCAGAAGCTCCGCTTCCATCCTTAAAATAAACCATTGATGACGTCGGGGGCCACGTCCGACTGCGCGACCAGCGACCGCACCTCCGTGCGAAGCCAGCGCTGGCTCCGGCACGTGAGGTTGAAGAAGGCCTCCCAAAGGCACGTCTTGGCCCCTCAAGGCGCTGGGGGGGGAACGTTGATGCTCTTATTTAAACGATTTGTGTAACGACGCCCCGAATCTTGGGTACACAACAAAACATATGATTTCTTCAGGGTCTGTTTCATCAACAACTTTGAAGGACACGCCAAACTCGACCTTCTTAGGTGCTATTTGCCTGCGATTGGCCGCAGAAGGGAGGTCCTGGTCCCACAACCGCAACCGTCAGTTGGCCGTCAGCAAGCTCTCCCCTTTCAGGGTCCGCTTCACATGCCAAGAAGGGTGAGAGCAAGTGGATGCCTTGCAATTTCAGGGTGCCCTAAAGGGTAAGAAGGGAAACCCTAAACCCTAATCCCTAAAGCTCGGTCGACTTGCTTGCAACTTGCTTGGCTTTTGGGACCCTTCTAAAGGGCCCCATGTTTTGATCAAGGGTAGACTCTTCAACTCCTGGCTTTTGGGGAAATCAACCATCCTTCCCTTAACCAAAACAACGGATGCACCGGTGAGCCACGAACTTTCAGCTGACTGTCGGTGGGTCCTTGATGGTAATTTGGTGCTCTGTTCGCAAAGTCATCGCCTCTACTGAACCAAAAGCCGCCGAATTTGAACTGTTGCTCACGTCTCAACTGCCACCAAAGGATCAGACAATATTGTGACCTCTTCACAGGCCAGCAAAACAACCTCTTTTGGTTTGTCCCCACTCATTGCAAACATATTAATATGGAAACCGAAGGCTGAATTGAGGTAAGTACACATGTTGGTTGATCACTATTCCTGGCCCACAAATGACCGGAAACGTTTCCCATTTAGTGGGAAATGTATTCTTTTTAGTGGTCCCCCCACTGTCATCCCATGTAAAGGACCTTTTGATCAACCCCCACATGTCAAAAGGCTTGACGTACAACTGCATGAGGCCTGGAAATCGCAGGTTAACTTGTGTGACTACAGTACAGGTGGATCAAAATTGTAGATGTCAAGCCAGCGTGGACATGGGTCGCAGACCAATCTTCACCCAAGCGCAACCTGGAATCATGGGCGACAACCCGAGCAACAAGGTTGAAGGGCCGAGTGCGGCCGTCAGAATCAAACCCTGGTCTTAAAAACGGCTGGACGGATGTCCTGAGTTCACAGGTTGGCATCGTCCGCTTTGTCACTTCTCCCAGAAGAGACACTGGAGCAAACCCGCGCCTGCCGTTCTTCAAACTTACGGCTGACGGCACCCACGTAGCCTGAGGCGCTGTGCAAGCTACGGGGTGTGCAGTGATACTCCGGAAACCGGCTGGATGCGGCTTTTATGGATCCACCAGTTGGATGATAATAATGCTCAAAAAGAACTAAATCAAGTGCTACAAAAGGAGCAAAGAGAAGAACAAGTGCGAAACACGCGTCTAAGTGGTAGTCAACACAGCTTCAGTAAGCAGGTCTTTTGACCATGGCACAGGTGTCAAAACAAGGCATCCATGTTGGGCTCGTGTCTACCATAAAAGTACAACTAATAAGGGGTCCAAGCTTTGACATTATGCCTATGTGAGTTTGTCTTCAGGATTCCCACATGATCATGTTCTTTGGCTTTCTTTTAGGCAAAGGGGGCTTTAAAGGGAAACCCAAAGGAAAACCGGCATTGTGTGGGGTATTTTTGTTTGACACATATCCGTTCCAACCAGCAGACCCCTGGGTCTTTCTCATGGGATGCGGACCCTGTTGATTGGTAGTCCGATATGGTACCGATGCCTGTTTTGCGCAAGGACCCCATGTTCCCAACATGCTACGCCAACCTTCAGGTCCTGTGCGTCCCCAAGGGCTCCGAGGTTCCAAAGTGCGAAGCTTGGCGGACGCCGGAGGAAGGGACACCTAGCTGATCAATCAATCGCTGGTTTCCCATTCACAGACCAATGATCTCTTTGTGGGAGGAAAACCCCTCATAATCCACCAGATGTATCTGGAGTCAACAGGAACCCAACCACACTTCTGAGATTGCGGGTGCAAGGTGCTCCACAAGTTACTTTCGGTTCACTTTTAACTTGGACTATAAATCCACCAGTGGTTTACGAATCACTTGAGTCGCAATCAAAATTTGTCTACCCAAAGCCCATGGTCAGTAATCCAAAAGGCAGATGTCCGCAGTGATTGTGCCCTGGTAACCTTCATCTACCCAGGGTTTGACTGAGGCTCAACTGGGTTCCGATTCCTCGCGTTGCTCGTCTTAGCACCCCACCGAGACGAAAGCGCCGGGGGCTGTTCATCTCCGACGCCTCAAAGCGCGAATGGGGGAGGGGTCCGTCGAGCGAACTCCGTTTTGGACTATCTGGGATGAGATTTACACCCGCAATAGCTTATAATGTGAAACAAAGGATTCACAAAGTAACTATAAACACAGGTCCAAGATATATAGTGGTTTTTGGAAAAAGAAGGCCACCCTGTTGTTGTTTGTTGGCTTCAGTTGCACAACAGAAAACCGAAACACCTGGACAAGTCGAGTCCTCGTTTTGAGCAACCGCGGCCAAGAATAGTTGAGGTTCATCCTTGCCGCCCGCTTTCCCATAAAGCCCAATTAACCCATGGGCCAAAACTTGGACAGCCTTAGACGCCTGCAAACGTGACATGTTTTGCCGGTGAAAAGGACAAACATGGAAAATGAAGAAAACCCCAGCGCAAAAGAGCCCTCTGTCTGGCAAAGCTGCTTTCCCTGAAGCTCCTTCTCGTGGAATCCTTCACTTCGCGAAAGCAGGGTCCCGCAAACAGGAGAGACTTGGCTCGTGCGGCTTTGTCTCAAAATTAGCCCGCCCCCCACAAAAAGAAAAGAAAGAAATCGCTGGTGTCCTTTCGGCTTTGCTGCAACCGTCAGCCAAAACAGGGGTCCTCCCACCCCCCCAAAAGAAACAAGAAGAAGAAGAAGAAGAAGAAGAAGAAGAAAGCATCAAGTTCGGAAGCACACCCACAGTGCGTGCCCCTAGTTACCTGGTGGTGCCTTGACGCTTCTCAAAGAGGGTTTTTACTTTTACTATCCCCAACTACTGCAAGGAAACACAGAGCGTCCATATTGTAGTGATTGCATCTCCAATCGCCGGAGGACTCGGCGATTCGGCCCTTGATTCTTTGTGGGCGACAAACCAAATCCCACTAAATTAAAGTCATGATGGGAAACTCGTTCCTACGAGGAAATTAAGTCATGACTGTGACAAGCTTAAGAGAAGATTCATGTGCGTATCTCACTTCCTGAGCGGATGGGCCGAAATAATTAGTCCAAACTTTGTGTTTAACACCAAAATGGTCTTCCCAAAAAACGTTCAAACTCCAAAAGCCCAGGAGGTGCGGCATTCTTCAGCCCCTTCCGTTGGGGTCTGCCCACTTCTGTCCGAGAAGCCCAGGAAAGCCGCCGGGCACGGCAGCGCAGGCGCGAGCCGTGGGGGATCAGCACGAAGCGGCTCCGCAGACCTCGGCTTTGCGTGTCTGAGTCAAGCGTTGGGCAAACTGTTTTACACCAACTCCTGGTTCCCTGACAGCCGCCAGAAGGATGTGGAAAAACAAAGGTGAGGCACAATCAAAACTCGGTAATTTAATAGTCCCGAAAAAAAAAAAAAAAAAAAAAAAAAAAAAAAAAAAAAAAAAAAAAAAAAAAAAAAAAAAAAAAAAAAAAAAAAAAAAAAAAAAAAAAACCCTACTGAAAAGACGGAGATCCGCACGCATTTATGTCGATTGTCCCTTACCTCCAATTCCCGCGTGTTGACTTAGCCAAAATTGGAGTCAACCCCGCAGGGGCAGTTAGTCAGCGGTTCGCCACCTGGGTTACAACCACTGACGGTGGGGCTAAATGCCACTTTCCGGGAATTAGGTTGCTAACAACTTAGACATGCGGCGGCCAAATCAAAGGAAACAAGATGCCGGAACAAGCTTCCCAGACCCTCAAAGGCTCTTAAACATGGTATATTGCCCAAACAATGTTCGGGGCGGGGGCCTTTGGTGATTGCACGGATAAACTGGCAAGTGTGGGTCCTTTCTACCTCCAAATACCTATAATCTACTTAAGTGGTCCGGAAGACTTTTAAGTGGCTAGTTGTGACCCAATTCAAGCAACACCTCGTGTAACCGGGGTAGCCATTTTGCGGTCACCGAGTCTAACAACTTGCAGACGTGGACCCTCAAAGTACCCTCAAAAAATGCAAATTGCCCCAACAATTCATAAGGTTTTAGTACCCCACAATCCCAGTCTGAATCCGGCACTTTGAGGCCATTTGCGTGAACAAAGGCACGTGAGCCTGGCACCGCGCAGCAAGTACAGGGGATGGAACTCGGGCCAAAAGGAAACCAAAGAAACCAAGGTCATCTGTTGGAGGCTCGGAACGACCTGTTAGAGGAAAACAAGGTAGAAAGCGAAGAATATCCAATCCTGGGATCCACCCCCTTCCCCCTACAAATAAGGCGTTGATAAAGCCTTATTGCGGGTCGTATGTTGGGGAAGCAGGTTGAGGGGATACTTGGATGAAATATGATGCACCGACCTGTAATCTGGAATGGCTCCCCAAATGGGCATTGGCAGGCAGGAGGTCGGAGTGGGGGGGGACTTCAATCCATGATCAAAGTCCACTCTTCGCTTCCGGGATCCACACTCCAGCTATCAGGCTCGTCACCGCAGGGCCAAGGACACGCCACCTGCCAAAGGAAGCAGCTACTGCAGCTGTCCCCCTGCAAATAGGCTTGCCGACCCTACTAAAGTATTGGGTGGAGGGGATGTTTCTTCTTGTCTTTGCTGTGGCTTCAGGAAAATCCATGCATGCACTGCCGTGGTTCGGGCCTAGCTTTCGAGATACGCAGGTGTGCATTCCACTGCATGGGAAAAATTACGTCCTCGCTTGCCTCACGCTGCCCACAGGTTGGTACGCAAATCCATTGCTTTACCCGACTTTGAGTTTCACGTCTACGCCTCACACTGCAACGTCTCGAACGCATGAAGCGGGGCCACGCGCGCTGCCTAAGTCCAAGTGCCAATACCCAAAGCATGCCCGCTTCTCTGGATGTGGCTGGCCTGATAAGCCACAAATGGGAAAAGTAGGGAAGTGGCGTGCGCTGTGCTCTTGCCGTATGCACCGGAGCTCGCCCCTACATATCGGAGGGCGAGTCAACTGGGTGAGGTTCGCGCTCGTTGCTGTCCCACGAGCCAAACAGCAAATTGAATTCAGCGGCGTCAAATAGGGTAGGCGTGAGTACAAAAGTCTATATCACTTCCCTGGTTTTACCCTTCTGCGCTCCATATCTCTCAACATGCCCCTAGCTTCCCTATATTCCACCATACTTCCCACAATTTTCAGCGGCAATGTTCTGGGCGATTTGGAAGGGCCCCCCCTCAAAACACGAGCAAAGGGCAACAAGGTTTGGGGGGAGGGGCAGGCCAACGACCAACCAAGGGATCACTCCATTGGCTTTCAATCTTGGCCAGACTGATCAGACCAAAGAGTTAGCAATTTGTGCTGCTTGAAAAGGAGACATCAGAAGAAAACAAAACTTGCTGGTTCGATAGACAGGGAATGAGAAATGGAATCACGCGAAGAAAAAAAACATCTCCTATGGATTCCTTTAAGAATCCATAGTTCCCAACATCCTGGGTCATTCCCTACTGAGCACCAGCAAGAAAGCTAAAGGCAAATGTCTCTTGCTGGAAGAAGGAAGCATAGACAAAGTTTAGCGAAGATGCGATGGTGCAAGTGCGCTATGCGCAGACCGGCGGACAGTAGACTGCCACTAATATTATCAGTTTCTCAAATATGTGGAAAGCACGTCATGGAACTCAGGAACCAGGGGGAGCAAACTGTTTGAGGGATCCAAATAACAAATTGGAGGACTCCCCACTATTCGCTACTGCGCCAAGCTCGATTTGCCCCTGAGTTAGGGTTGGGCCAACCTCTCGTTTGAGCATGCCCACCCCGCCTACTGTTTAGGCAACCTCCTTTGGGTTTAGATGGCCGGGGTCTGGATCTTCAAACATTTTTACCCGACCCTGGTTACACTTTGGGGCCAAGTGCTTGGTAACTCTTTCGCCTATTTCGTGGATGTGCTTCACATGCCTCACCCATTCCCCTCCCCCCCCGGCCGTGAGCACGATCCAGTTGGCGGCTGCCGCGTGGTAGTCTTCCAGGCGGAAGCCATGGGAAGACCGATAATGCTGGTACCTCGGCTCGAGCCTTCCAATGGGCCAAATGGGTCGCTTTTGTCTTTTTGGGGGAACCCCCCCCTGACAATTTTTTTGGTGGTTTGAGACGGAAACCAAAAGGAACGCCACAGCTTTCTTGGGGGGCTTGCCCCTAAAAAAGGAAAGACGCAGATCAGAACGTTCACCAACCAACAACAGGGATCGCTATGACGAAGGTCAAACGTCCCGAGTGGCGGCGTTGTAATTTGCCCTATGGGTGGCGTCGAGAATCCCCAACGTTGTGATAGTTTGCCCGGGTTCCTTGAAGGATGCATTGCCCATTCCAAAACAAACACCTTTGTCAGCTGTTTCAAAGCGTTTCTTCCTGTACTGTACCTGGTGATGTAGGGTGTATCCTTTTTGCGGCAACCTCAACAAGGACACCGGAAACCAAAAGGGCATCCCACATTTCAAATGTCTTGTTTGTTGTCGCTGAGGGGTAACCACCAACAGCGTTTTGTTCAGGTCGCCTACAATGGTAGGGCTGCAGTACACCTCAAACCGAACGAGTTTCTGTCCTACAGGCCTTTTATTGCACACAACCCCCCTCCAAACAAAAACAACAAACAAAACAAGAAGTGGCTTACTGTTGGTTACCCTCCAAACTGGAAAGGGCAATCTCAAGAGCGCAAGCGGAATATATATATATATACATATATATATATATATATTGACATGCATGTGCATATATATATATATATACACATGTCCACTCACATATTTACGTATAAACACGTGTATATCATATCTGCGTATATACACAAAGAAGGTACCACCCCTGCCGTCCAGAGCGCTCCAAGCCGTAGAGCACCACATGGTCGGTCCCATTCCGCCGCCCGAACACGTCGAACCTCCCGGACAGCTCTGCGAAGGTCTGCACCACGCACTGCAGCGCCTTCGTTAAACCGAAAGGCGGCGCGACCTGCCGTTTTAGGCACCACCGACATAGGAAACCATGTTTGAAACCAGTAGATTTGCTAGGTCCTCCAGTAGAGAGGTTAGAATAAGGGGGACCCTTTTTTTCTGTATTCTAGTTTAGTAGGGGAACCCTCCCCCAAAAAAGGGTAAAAGGGCACTACTCGGGGGACTTAGTTGGACATCGCAGTTCCGGGGTTGAAGAAACCATGGTTGAAA